CGAATGCAGACAGCGAGCGCTGGCACACAGATTTTCTGTTGTTTATCCAGACAGACGGTATTGATTCAGGCTGAGGAGGAAATCCTCTGAGGCACATAGGTGCAAACTTTAATACAGTTCCCGAGCTGATGTGGTCATTTGTCAGCGACACCTCAGGTGTCAATCAGGGCTGTCTAATAAAGTCCCTGAAACTCTGAAGTGTGGATCCTTTTCTAGGAAGGGGTTGTGTGTAGTTAGTGATTGAACAGTTAATATTGATCTAAAATGTATCGATTACTTCCATGACAATGCAAACAAAAACTGTTTTTTGTACCAGAAAGTGAATTTTGAGTCAAAAATAGCTAAGAAAAGAGGGAACTTTGGCTATAGCATTGGTACCGTCAGGTTTTTATGTAAATATTTTCATTTAAATAGTGAAAAAGGTCATTTTGAAGCGTCATTGTTTTCATCTAATTAGGAACCGCACTACTCTGTGATGGAAGCACCACTCGTGGTTTTGTATTCTAACTGGACTTCACCTGCGGGCTGGTTGACAAATAAACAGGTTTCATGAATAACAGCAGGCACACAGAAACAGAAAAAAGATCCTCCCGGGAGGTGTCTAAATGTCACTTTTTGGATGCCTTTGTAAGCTTTGTAACCCCTTTGGAACAGCCATTTGGGTCAAAGCTGTACTCTGACAATAAAAACACAGTGAACAGGGATTCTCAGTCGACTGGTCAGGAGTTGTAGCCACAGTGTTTGGCATTATCGATCTTATTGATGCTGCAACAGAAATCTGGGATTTAGATTTAACCAGAAATGGTTAATAAAAGTAAACAGATTTGTATTTTTGAATTAATTCATTTTTCAATGCTATTCCTTGGAGATGAATCTTGGAAATTGGGGTAATTTCTACTGAATTTTGTGGCCATTCTGAACTTATATACATCTCATTTCTTTTGTTTTGTGTCTCTTACGTCTCTTAAAAGAAGTGTTTGATCTTGGGGAGGGGGGGGATTTCTGACACATTCTGTTTTATGTCATTTTGCATTTTCATGGCTGCAGGTTTTACCCACAATTTATTAAATATAAGTTCCTCAGCAACACATTTTTAATATTCTAGCCAACACCCTTATTTGCTTAAATGCCACACTGTTTGCGAGTGAGTTGAAACTGAAATAGTCCTTTAAAGGCACTAGAAAGTGCTCCAAATTCTGCCTACAAAACTGTGATAAACCTCAACCTCTTTGTATTTCCTGCACTATATAGCTAAAAAAAAAAAAGATCAAGGGATTATATTATTCAAGCTATAACCCTGTCAGTAATAGAACGATCAGGTTTTAGATTTCCTCTCTTCAAGTCTTCGTGTTTTATGGCTCTTCTATTGCACATGCGAGTTGTTTGTGGTGTGTTTTGTATCGACTTGTTTATTGTTGTTGTTGTTTTTGTTTCGTTTTTCACATCTAAATTGCCTGGTGATGTTTCTCTCTCTCTCCCCCTATGAGAGCATGTGCTCCAGTATGAATTATGCACCGCTGCCTTTCCCCTGATAAGGCCAAGAGTGACAGCGTGTGCCTGCTGATAAATCAGCTGTGATTGATGGGTGTTTTTCTGGGCTTTTGTTTTTGATGCTGCCTGTTTCCGAAGAGAGGCAGCGCTGCTGAAAAGTGGAAGTCTGTTAATGATGTGGAGGGAGCGACTGAACACTGTCGGGATGGAAAACAGCAGCGGGCGGCTAACAGAGTCTGTCCTCTCACAGGTTGGGTCTGTCTCACTCTTAAAGACCGGTCGGTCATTTTGATTTGTGCCTCGAAGAGCCAAGCGAAGTTACCTGGCAACAATAAATATTGTTCTTCCGTAGGCCGATGGGTGGCTAATTGAAGTCTCATCCCTTCGTAGTCTGAGAAATGTCACGTTTGCCATGAGAACTGCTTGAAATATGCGTCCCACTCTCACAAAATAGCCCTCCTCATCATACACAGCTCAGGCACACATTTTCCATAGTTAATCACCTGTAGACTGTAGCTTCCCATCACCTACCTGTGTAAAGGTGGCCGCTGTGCTATTTTTTTATTTTGTGCTTTAACACAGAGGCGTATAATCCTCAACTTGTAATTAGCACTAATGAAAGGTTTATGAATCCGGCAGACAAAGAATATGAAATTTGGGCTATAAATAGCCTGTTTTAATGAGGAAAGGTTTCCTGGGGTCAGCGTGGCGCTAATGCAAGAAGTCTGTTACGTGGATTTTGGACCACTTAAAACCAAAGTTGTGGTTTCACGCTTCAGTATACTGGCAGTCTGTCCAGGATGTACCCCACCTCTCAGCCAGTGGTCAGCCGGGATAGGCTCCAGCCCTCCGGGGAACTGGATCCATCCACTTTCTGTAATGGGAATAAGCGGTATAGAAAATGGATGGATGGCAAGCTGGCATTTACTCAGATACCCAGGTCCTTCCCAATAATCTGCTCATCTGCCAGACAGACGCACATTGCAGGCCGTAAAACTGTCACCTCAAAACGTTGGAGCTGGAGTCGGGCCAGATGACGAGTCACGGTTTGTCCAACCAAAGCACCATTTGACGAGTCAGCATCTTAGAGGCGCCTCTTCTGTCATAACGAGAATCATCACTGCACACAAAGGTTAGGATTGGACGGAAAAAGATTACCGGGATGGAGGAGATTACGCTTTTCATTCATCTGAGAGAGAGAGAGATTCTGATCTTGGGCCCGTCAAACAAAAGAGTCTCATTTTGGGAGAAAACAACCTTTTCGTGGCAAATAGCTCACTTTTATTTTTTATTGGAACAGCACGTAGATGCGGTTATTAACAGATTATAACCAGAAATAACAGATGTCTTTTTTTTGTGTCTACGTCTTGGCTGCCTTTGCTTTACCTACTTGTGTGCAGCATATTGTGGGTACGGCAGCTTTATGGAGCTGTTGCAAACGGCATTTGTACTGTTGCTATGCTGGTCCCAGAGGGGTCTGTTAGGTTACACCGGCCCATCGCGTCTTCATAAACCCTCTGCCGTTGACATGAAACAAATTAATCTGGTCATAAATTATTTATGCCGGTGCAATTGATTCCCTTCCCTCGCTTCCCTTTGTGAAAATAACTTGAATAGATGGATAAACAGCTGGATGATGAGTTTGTCTCCAGAGGGCACGACGCTAAACATGATTGTTTTGAGCAGTTTTAGTACAGAGCAGATTAAAGTGACACCCGCCTCAGGCCTTGATTTGCCTCGTTGTGGCATAGCCACAATCATTTTTGTTTGAGAAAGCCCACTTTTGGTAATTAACGGCCTTGAAAACATGCTGACCCCTTTCACCTTTTCCAATAAAAACTCCAGTCAAAAGCTTCTCTATTCAGCTGATGTAATTTCAAAGTCATTTCTAACAAGCCTAATACATTTGGGGAATTGAGGTTATTTATGAGACAAAAAGTAACTGACTGAATATAATTGGACAGGGGCTGAGCCAGGAGGTGAAAAAGGGGGGCCAAGACCCCCACCCATTAAAGGATGAGCCCATTAGTGTTTACATAGTTGTATCTTTAAGATTCAGAATTATCATCAAATCAGTCTGGATTTGTTTGAATCGCACTTTTCAGACCAAGTGAATGTTGCTTATCGTGTTTGCTAAAACCTAAAGCAGCACACAATGAAACTAATGACGATTAAAGTCTTCCAACCCACTTTAAAACCAAAAGCACTTTAGGATTGCGTGCTAAATTAAAAACAATAAAGGAAACCAATAAAGACCTGAAGACCTGAGTAAATGCTGAAATAATTGCTGTGTGAGGCAAATAAAAGCACTGTGAAATTGTTACTGTGTAAAATCCTAGGAGGATAGTAATAGTGCGCAAACATAAACTAAATTGAATACAGATGCTGTTTTTTTTTTATTCTAGTTCTCTAGAAGAGTGTAGATGTACATTCATACAGATAAATAACACAGTCAACCAGATGAATGAAAGTTAACAGAATTTCAGTCAGTGGTCAGACAATTAATACAATAAAGACAAATTAAGAGCATATACACATTCATTCAATTAAAACTAAGAAAAATTATCCCCACCCTTAGTCTTTATACGTGTATTAATAAGAATCTCTTGTGATTCATATCATCATATGCACACACACACACATCTATGATTTATCTTAGCTTTTTTAGACATTTTAGACATATATATAGATATAGACATATAGATATGTCTAAAATGTCCAAAAATGCAAACATATCATTGTCAAAGATCCTGAACGCAGCTCAAAACTAATAGTGGGTCATACTGAGCAGTTCTCCTTCATAGTCACCACAGACAGGGATTAGAATAAAAAATCTTTGGCTCAACTACTTTTTCAAACTTTATGAAATTCAAGCCAAGAATCTGGTCGAAATGACTGTGATTTCTGGTGCTTTGCAAGCAGAGAGAAGGAAGTGGCTGGGCCCTTATTGTTTCTCATTTTCGTTGTCTGTGCTTCAAGGAGCTGTTGCCACAGTCTATTTAAAAGATAAATATTTAAACATGGACTTTAATTATTTAAACTCGGTGGGCATAAAATGTCTGTGGTGGAATCTGTGCCCTAACTCATTGGGCTGTATAGTTTTCAGCTTGGTTTTCCCCTTAGGCAGCTTTCAGCCTGTTAAAAAACTAACTTAATCTTTAATGAACATTGACAAAAATATTACGACGTGAAGTTTCATTTCTGGCTTCTGATAAGGGAAATATGTAATGAAATATAACTGATGTCTTCATTTTCTGAATTTCTTTCCACTACAGACAGATCATTTTTAAAACCCAGTGTCCCATTACCATGAGAACTATGCGGTCGTTCTTGACATATATTGGGTTTTGGGGCCTGAAAGTGTGGAAAACTGAGGAGACTCTCTTCATTGATGTACTCACCTCCACTCTTGGTCACCTGTGGGACGAGATATTTGCTGTTCAGAGGCGTCGTGAAACACAGTTACTGACCTCCCGTCTCTTTTCCCCTCCCCTCCCCCTTCCCTCTCTATCGATCTGTCTTTCCTCCAGATCGGAGGGAATCGTGACGTGTAACGGATGCCCGCCTCGGAGTTTGTTGGAGTCCTCGCATTAAACAAGTGGCTTTCGTCATGGCGACCGGCTGCCTCCCGACTCCGCTGCGTGACCCCTCCTGTGGAGGGCCTAATTGCTGAAGGAGGGGCTGCCATAAGCTTCCGGGCCAAGATAAAGATCGTCCAAACCATGTAGTTTCCCTTTCTCTGAGGAGGGGGGAGGGTCTTCGTTTTTTAGCCTGATTTCTCCTTTTTTTTTTTTTTTTTTTTGCCCCGGTCATTTCGGTTCATTAAATCTGCAGAACGAGATCTGCGCTCGCCTGCTTGAAGAGTTTATGTGGGCGCGGGCTGAGACTGGGAGGTGAGGAGAAAGAGACAGAGCGGAAGAGAGACGGAGAGAAAGAGAGAAAGAGATGGTCCTCCACACCAGCCCTTACTCCAGTGCCTGTCTGCACTTCCTGGATGGCCTGTCGTGGAGCCTGGTGTTTCCCTGCTACTGGCTCCTGGACCGGCTGCTGGCCTCCTGCGTGGCCACCTCCCTGGAGAAGCGCCAGCGCTCCCAGGACCCCTGCTCCTTCCTCACCCTGTGCGTCCTGATTGCCGCCCCCCTCTACCTGCTCCTCCTCCTGGCCTCGCTTCCCTTCGCCCTGCTGGGCTTCCTGCTCTGGGCTCCCCTTCAGGCTGTCCGTCAGCCGTACCTGTACACCTACCGCAGGTAAGCACCTCACCCGGACGCCGGTTTGACACCGTCCTGATGGGTCTGTGCTCATGTCTGAACTCCATTTGGGCTCCTGGGTGGTTCTTCCCTGCAGAGCGGACAAACACCAGGCGGAGCAGGGCCAGGGCGGCTCTGGGATCGGGGAGTGGAGGCCGCAGGGCAGGAGCTTCTGCTTCTGCAGCGCCAACGTCTGCCTCCTGCCCGACTCGCTGGCCCGCTTCAACAACCTGTCCGACACCCACCGCAGAGCCCGCGAGGTGGGGAAGCGCATCCGCAACGGGGCCAGCCGGCCTCAGATCAAGATCTACATCGACTCCCCCACCAACACCTCCATCAGGTGAGTTCTCCACCCGGAGCTCGTCCGTCTGCGGCCCGTCACGCCGGTGCTGACCGCTCGGCGCTCTCTCTGTCCCCTCCCGAACCCCCCCCCCCCCCCACCCCCGTGCAGCGCCACCTCCTTCAGCAGCCTGGCCACGGGCTTCCGCCGCACCTCCTCTCTGGACCAGCGTCCAGACCAGACCCACACCACCAACGGCCCGGCCGAGAACGACATCGAGCCCCTCGCCGAGTGCCCCGTCCACCCCCCAGTAGGCCACGAGTGCCCCGTCCACCCGCCGGGGGGCCACGACTGCCCCGCGCACCCCCCCGCGGCCGAGCAGGGCTCCGCCGAATGCCCCGTCCAGCCGGAGGGGGCGGAGCCGGCGGCTGACTGCCCCCTGCACGCTGCCGGCAGCCCCCCCGACTGCCCCGTGCACGCCCCGGACGAGGCGGCGGACTGCCCCGCGCACCCCCCCGCCGGGAACCACGACTGCCCCCTGCACGGGGAGGGGGCAGCGCCCACGGCCGACTGCCCCCTGCACGCCTCCGGGGTGCAGATCAGCATCAGCGCCCCGGAGCCCGACCCCCACGCCGAGGAGGCCGGGAACCACCGGGAGGCGGCGGGGGGGGACGCCGGCAGCATGACGGCCTCCCGGGAGTCCCTGGCCCGCTACCACGGGGGCGACGGGGGCGTGGGGATATCCTCCAACAACACCCTCTCCCACGTGCCGCGCACCTCCGTCTTCAAGCGGCCGGGACGCAAGCGCCGCCACGGCGACGAGGCCTTCGACCACGAGGTCTGCGCCTTCTTCCCGGCCAACCTGGACTTCCTGGCCCTGCAGGAGGTGTTCGACCACGGCGCCACGGGCCGGCTGCGGCGGCAGCTGCACCGCTACTTCCCCTACGTGCTGAGCGACGTGGGCCGCTACGGCTGGAAGGGCCTCTGCTCCCGGTTCAAGTTCCTGAACAGCGGCCTGATGCTGGCCAGCCGCTACCCCATCCTGGACGCGCGCTACGAGTGCTACCCCAACGGCAGGGGGGAGGACGCGCTGGCGGCCAAGGGGGCGCTGTTCGCTAAGGTCAGAGGCTCCGCTCATACGCAACTACATTTAGACTTTTAAACACAGGGAGTTTGAATTGTAAGACAGAAAACTGATGGTTTAGCCAGAAGTAAATGCATTAGACAAGATATAGGCACACAAACGCCCATCCGTCCATTTTCTGAACCGCTTACTCCCAAATGGGGTGGCGGGGGGACTGGAGCCTATCCCGTCGGGCCATCGGGCTACACAGAGACACACAAGAACCAACAACCTTGCACCCACACACTCAAACCTTCATTTACATATATATATGGTGGGTTCTCTCCGTCCCAAAACCTGCATGTTAGGTTGATTGGACACTCCAAACTGTCAAACAGTGAGTGGTTGTTGGTCCTTGTGTGTCTCTGTGTGGCCCTGTGATGGACTGGTGGACCCTCCAAGGTGGACCCGCCTCTCGCCCAATGACTACTTGGATAGGCTCCAGTCCCCCTGAGACTTGTTAGGGAATAAGCAGTTATAAAATTGGATGGTTGGATGGGTATAAACATAACATAACACAACAAATAAATATAACACAAAAAAAAAAGCCAAGTAGGAAATCTTAAGAAGATTCAATCACAGAAACAGTGTGTCCAGACAAACTGCCCCTCGTTCAAACACACTTTCCAGTTCACCGGTAGGATCTGCTGGTAATAACAGCTGTGGCTCGCTCAGATTCCACCAGTTGCTGCTGCAGCGTGAGACGATGTTTCCTAAACGCTGGTGCAGAAAATGTTTGCAGAAAATGTTCCGCATGGAGGGACGCTAACGCTTCTTAATGAGCACAAAGTGAGTGGCGGCCTCGTTATTAATCTGCCCCCTCGTCATTAGTTGTGACCTGGTTTTCGGGGGGGTGTCTTTTCCTCTGAGGTGCAGGCCACCTGCGGCCTCGCCACGCGTTTTTGTTTTTGCTTGTTTTTTTGCTTCCATAATGAGTGTTTTTTCCCTCTGCACATGGAGCCATTACAGGACGGTAGCATGCCTCCTCGTGTACCACTCCCAAAGCCTCAATTAGACCCTGCCACCAGCGTGTGGAGGCAGTCGGCGCCGCAAAGGTTTAATGCAGAAATGCCCGTCCATTAGGCAGGGAGGGGTTAGAACAGGGCTGCTAATGCACTCATGTGGGCCCCGCGCAGAGGGATGGGCCTCCACGGTGGCTACCTGCGTCCTTTTTCTGTCTTTACTCTGTTTGATTCGCGGGCCCGCTGCGTGTGGAAGAGTCTCAGAGCGGCTAATCAGAGGAAACCCGCCGGCTGACGCGCCCGTGGCGAGTTTAGACAGCGTTTGAGTTCATTAATCAGCCGCACGCTGTGCCTGTCTGGATCCGATCCCGTCCCCGCTGGGTCGGGTCAGCGAGGTACGCGACCCGATGCTGCCGCCCCGACGAGCGTGGCGGCCTTTCCCGCACGATCTGACGGAGACACACACTCCATCACAGCTCGCACGTCCCCGTTTCACCACCTCCTCGTACGGGAGGTCACTCCAGGCCTCGCCGACAAGCTGGTTGCGAGCCAGCTGGCAGGCGCCTGTCTGAAAAAGCCAGCTGCAGATGCGCTCGGACGGCACAGAGCGAAGAAACCAAGCTTTTTCTTTTTTTTTATCCGAACGTCTCCACCGAGTTGTCAAAACCTCAAAAGCGCTGAAAATCTGGTGCACAGCATGGATGAAAACATCCCAAAACAAACACGTCTGCTTGAGGCAGTTTTTTTTTTTTGCAGGCGGAAATGTTTCTCCAGTTTATTTTAGCCTCATTAGTGAGTTTTCATTTTCAATTTTTTACCAAATTCTGAAGATTTGAATGAGAAATGGTGATTTGGAACAGTGAAAAGGGAACACAACAGCATTTATGAGCGTGTTTGGAGGAAGATTTGATGCAAATCTGTGCACTAGTAACAACTTTCTGAAACTTTTATGACCAAAACATTCAAACGAAACAACCCGTTTCTGGTCAAATTTACGGGAATCTCCTCAAATAAAACACGACCTCCAAGACATTCCGAAAAATGAAAGCGATTCCTGACATCCACCACAGTTTGGATGTTTTCTCCGGGAACTGATTCACCGGGAAGTGAGGAAGAGATTAGAAATGTTACACATCCGCAGCTTATCAGACTCTGATCAAAAGCAAACTAAACCAACATGACAGAGGCCCGTTCTCCTCTTGAGTATTAATACAAACTTTTAAAGCTCTGCTCATTAAATTGGACTTTCCCTAAACCCTCTGAATGTCTATATTAGCCTTGCTTTTTCACACATGCTTGGAGCTTAAGCGCACTCCTCTGAAGCTGTTCCAATGATTCAGATTCAGATCACAGTTTAAGCGATTAGGACTAAATTTGATGGACACATGTTACAAGTTACCTCCATCTTTATCATTATCCGTGGATCCTCGTGTCCTTTGAGCTCCTGGTCTTCTTGTGGTTTAATCATTGAGTCTTTTCGGTGTATGTTTGCGCACATTGTTTAGGGTTTCTGTTGTGCTTATTTCTCTTCGTATCCTCAGTTTCTCTGTTTGGTTTTCAGCTCATTTTCCACACCTGAGTCCAATTCAATCAACCACAGCAGCCACTTTCTCATTAGTTTCCCCCCGTATTTATTCCCTTTGGTTTTTCTCAGCGCTTGCCATGTTTTCATAACCTGGACTCTTTTTTTCTCTTTAGGACATGTCATTTTTCTATTCTTTTATCTACAGACTTTGAAATCCTGAGATGAATATCTCAAACTCAGCTTCTGAGCTTCTGAGCACACTGAGATATCTGAGATCCGATTTAATTACGCTCTCAACCGCGGAAGAAAATGAGGGAAGGGTGTATTTGACCCAAACGCATCGTTACCCATCCAGGTTTTAATCCTTACCGTTTGCAGGTGGTTAGGATCGACGAGTGGGAGGGAAGTGGAGATGTCTGGGGATGTTTCCTTCAAGTGCTCAATTAAACAGCGGCAAGACGCCAAAAGAGTTCATTTTCATTTAAAAGTGTGTGTTAACTCATCATGCGTCAGAGTGCTGACACAGAAAATTAAGCTGTGTCCACGAAAGGAGCACAGAGTAACCAACACATTTTTACTTCTAGCAAACCATTAGAAACATTTTTAATTTGCTACACCCTGGACCCCTGGACAGTGGGAGGAATCTGGACTACCCACAAGAACAAATATTCTATACTTTTATAGCAAAACTGCAGCCTTTTGCTTGACGGCCGACTGTAAAAAGGCTCTTTTATTTTTGTTTTGTTTCAGAAGTTGTTGTTTTTTTTACTTTTCGAAGGTAACAGCATTGCAGATGCCTCCCATCTTAACGGCCTTTTGTCTGATGCATCCATCCATATTCTACACCTGATTTATCCAATTCATCATCCCGGGACTGCCGGAGCCTCTCCCAGCTGTCATTAGA